ATTATGCTAAGTAAAATAAGCTAGACACAAAGGATAAATATGTATGAGATACCTTAGAATAGTCAGATTCATAGAGGCAGAAAGTAAAATAGTGGTTACCAGGGCCTGGGAAGAGAGGGTGAGGTGGGAAGTTTATGGAGTTTCAACTTGAGGAGAAAGTTCTGGAGATGGATACTGGGATAATTGCACAACAATGTAAATGTACTTAATGCCAATGAATCTTAACACACTTAAAAATGGTTAAAATTGGGACGCGTGGGTGGCTCTGCAGTTGGGCAGCTGCCTTCAGCTCAGGTTGAGATCCCAGGATCGGGGATCAAGTCCTGCATTGGACTCCTACAAGGAGCCTGCTCCTCCCTCTGCCTGTGTCTCTGCCTCTCTTTCTCTGTGTATGTCTCTCATGAACAAATAAATAAATATTTTTTTAAAATGGTTAAAATTCAAAAATTTTTATGTATACTTTTGTACAGATTTATTTATTTATTTGAGAGAGAGAAAGAGAAAAGCAGGAAGGGCAGAGGAAGAGGGGGAAAGAGAATCCCAAGCAGACTCCCTGCTGTGCACAGAGCCCCTGTTCAGTCTTTTATTGTCGATATTTTGGAAGGCCAAAAAATTTTTTTGTTTTTAAAAATCATAGTAAAGGGGTGCCTGGATGGCTCAGTAGGTTAAGCAGCTGCCTTCAGCTCAGGTCATAATTTCAGGGTCCTGGGATCCAGCTCCACTTCTGGCTCCCTGCTTAGCAGGGAGTCTACTTCTCCGTCTCCTTCTGCCCCTTCCCCTCCCACTCCTGCATTCATGCACACTCTTACTCACTCTATCTCAAATAAATAAATATTTAAAACAAAAACAAAAAAGGAAAAACTTAGGAGAAGTTAAAAAAAAAGTACATCACAAAATTTAGTATTTGTACTCATAAAATCTGTGCAGTTGGAACCATCTTAAACACAATGACCAAAGCTATATGTACATTAAGGACTAGAAGTTACCTTACAGAAACTCTTGCACATGGATACCTAGAAATGTGTACAAGAATATTCATAGCAGCATTGCTTACGTTACTTTTTTTTTTTAAGATTTTATTGATTTATTCATGAGAGACAGAGAAAGAGGCAGAGACACAGGCAGAGGGAGAAGCAGGCTCCATGCAGAAAGCCCAATGTGGGACTCAATCCCGGGTCTCCAGGATCAGGCCCTGGGCTGAAGGCAGCGCTAAACCACTGAGCCACCCAGGCTGCCCCATTGCTTACATTACAATAACAAACCTTAGAAACCCTATAAATGCCCACCTCCAAGGAGAGTGGATTAAGCAAATCTGGGTATAGTCATACAATGAAATTTGGTGGCAATCACAATGAAGGAACTTCTGCTCTGTGTATCAAGGTGAGTTAATTTCACAATTCTGACCAACAAACAAAAACAAAAACCTAGAGACTAAAGAATATGTGCATTATGGTTCCATTTATAAAAGTTCAAGAATATGCAAAACTAACATTGTGTTGTTTAGGGATGCATCCAGAAGAGGTTGAAGTTTATTTTATTTTTTCTATTTTTATTTTATTTTATTTATTTATTTATTTATTTTTTTTTTTTTGAGGTTGAAGTTTAAAGAGAAGGAAGAGCCCTGCAGCTGCTTGGCAGCTTTTTAACCACAATGGAGCCCTCTCCCAAGCTGTGGACCAAATGGAAAGAATAAAGCTTTTACCAGAAAAAAAAGAAGAAAGAAAGAATGAAAGAATGAGAGTAAGAAAGAAAAAAGAAAAAGAAAAGAAAAGATTCCAAAATGTATGGGACCCCTGGGTGGCTCAGCGCAGTTGAACGCACCTGCCTTCTGCCCAGGGCATGATCCCAGAGTCCTGGGATTGAGTCCCACGTCGGGCTCCCTGCATGGAGCCTGCTTCTCCCTCTGCCTGTGTCTCTGCCTCTCTCTCTCTCTCTGCGTCTCTCATGAATAAATAAATAAATAAATAAATTTTAAAAATTTCCAGAACGTGGTTAATTCTGGGAAGTAGCATAAGGATGATTGTGAGGGGCTCACAGGGCACTTCAAAGACATTGGAGATGGATGTTCTAGTTCTCAGTCTGAGTGGTGGCCACACAAGTGTTGGTTTTCTTATTCTTTTAAACTATACATGTACAGTTTACATTCTCTTTGTTAAATATAAATAGTTCATAACAAAAATTAATGGAAATAATAAAAAGTCTGAAAAACACTGTTAATACTAACTCTTTGGCTTTGAGATTAGTGGATTTCTGTCTATTCCTGTCTTTGTTTCTCCCTCCCTCTCTTTCTCTTTTCCTGTTTCTCTCTCTCTTGACTTGGCTATATTTTTCAAGATTTCTAGATTATTATGTTTTTATAACAAACTTAAGAAAAATGTCAAATGGATATTCAAATAAATCACCCCAGAATACCTTTACAAACTAAATAGGGAAGAGTTTTAGGTCATCTTCTGTTCCAAGATTTTGTTGCAGCCAGAAATCTCCTTCCATTAGCAACCGGTGTTGAGGGTTAACTGCAACTCACCCTTGATCAATCACGGATGTGGCTTGACTTTAGCTAAAGGTCTGATTAATTATACATGTATTCATAATAAACTGAGATGGTATGTACTGAAACTCAGGACCAGCATGGTAAACAGGAAGCAAGTACCCAGATGCCCACCTGCCCCTCCTGTCCTGGATCTTGCAGATATATTGCTCCTTTCAACTCCCATGCATGAGCATCTTTGTTTTCGGGTGCATTCACTGAAACCTCTAAGAGTGAAGCCCATTTCTGCCTCATCAGTCCGGGAGGTTCTTGTGAGATCACGCCTTTCAACACACTGGAAACCTCAGGGAACGATCCATGTTGTTTCCCTTCTCTAAGCGAGGTGTTTCCATTATGTTCACCAACTAAGATCTCCTTTATTATTTTTCCATGAGCCCAGTGTTTTGAAAATTGTTGCCCATCAAAAAATTCCATTGACCAAGTTGTAAATTCTTCTCATTTTGAGTGGCAAAGCAGAGCTTCTACACAAGAGGCAAGACTTTGTATTATTCCAAAAAAAAAAAAAAAAGACTTTGTATTATTCCCACCAAGAGTAAAAGGACTTGGAATTGGAATTTGTCCATTCAGTCTTGCCTGGAGCAAATGTCTGATTTGCATTAGATATCCTAACTGACTGGAACTAGTTTACGGACACCACTGTAACCAGTACACCTTCTTTCCCTCCTACTGAGATCCTGGATCTGGGGAGCCTAAGGTTTGAGAAACATTCCTTAGGACCAGCTTTCCTAGTTCCGGCACTTTGCCTGGGAGGAGAGCTGAAGAGAAAAGAAAAGAGAGAGGATATTGTAAAATGTGGTAAACACCTGAGCTGGGTGGCTTCGTGGTTTCTATTTTATAGGTCAACTAAGCCATAGACAGGCAACAAAACCAGAATTCCAATCTGACTGTCCTGGACCTCAGGTCCTTGCTCTTGCCCTTATGTCAGCATTTAAAAATCCTAGTGTATGCAGGGATGTCTGGGTGGCTCAGCAGTTGAGCATCTGTCTTTGGCTCAGGGTGTAATCCCGGGGTTACAGGATTGAGTCCCACATCTGGCTCCCTGCATGGAGCCTGCTTCTCCCTCTGCCTGTGTTTCTGCCTCTCTCTTTCTGTGTCTCTCATGAATAAATAAATAAAACCTTTTCTTTTAGTCTTAAAAAAAATAAAATAAAAATCATAGTGTATGCAGCACCTGGCTGAATGGGTCCATGGAGCATGCAACTCCTGATCTTGGGGTTGAAAGCTGGAACCCCATGTAAGGTGTAACCCCATGTTAGGTTTATTTAAAAATAAAATATTTTAGGGGCACCTGGGTGGCGTGGTCAATTGCGCATCAGACTTGGTTTCGGTTCAGGTCATGAACTCAGGGTCTGGGATTGAGCCCTGCCTCAGATTCCACATTTATCAGGGAGTGTGTTTCTCCCTCTCCCTATGTGCCTCCCCCTGCTCCTGCATTCTCTCTCTCTCCCTCTCTTTCTCAAATAAAGAATTTAAAAAAATAAAATAAAATAAAACATTTCAGGGGCACCTGGCTGGCTCAGTCAGTAGAGAATGGTGACTCTTGATCTCAGAGTTGTAATTTCAAGCCCCACATTAGGTGTAGAGACTACTTAAAAGTAAAAATCTTTTAAAAAAATAAAGTATTTTTAAATTTTTTATTAAAAAATTAAGTAAATAAAAATCCTATTGCAGCCCACACATATATTACAATTTTTTTTAAAGATTCATTTATTTTTATTTTAGAGAGAGTGTGGGGAAAGACAGAGGTAAAGGGAGAGAATCCTCAGGAAGACTCCTTGCTGAGTACGGAGCCCACACAGGGCTCGATCCCAGGACTCTGAGATCATGACCTGAGCCGAAATCAAGAGTAAGACACTCAACCAACTTAGCCACCCAGGCACCCCATTACAATTTATTTTATGCAGAGGTGTAAAGACAACTCAACAGAGAAAGGATAATCTTTTCAACAAATAGTATTGCAACAATTAGGTATATATGCAAATATAAATAGATTTCCTTCCACATCCCATCCCAGAAACAAAAATTAACTCAATATACTTAAATGTAATCATTTAGGTCATATATCTAACTGTAAAACCAAAAGCTATAAGGTTTCTAAGAAAAAACCTTTGTGACCTTGAGTTAGGCAAAGATATCTTAGATATGCTACCAAAAGCAAAATTCAGAAAGCCAAACTGATAAATTGGGTTTTATCAAAATTTCCAAAAGGAAAAAAAAAACCTCTTGCCTCTAGAAGATAATTGTTTAGAGAAAGAAAAGATGAGCCACAGACTGGGAGAAAAATATTTGTGAATCATGCATCTCATAAAGGACTTGTATCCAAAATATGTAAAGAACTTTCAAAACTCAATATCAAGAACACAAACAACCTCCTCCCCACAAAATGGGCAAAAAATTTGAACAGACATTTCATATGTCAAATGTTATAAGCACTTCAGAAAACGGTTTGGCAGTGCTCACTTTGGCCACGCATTTATTAAAATTGGAATGATACAGAAAAGATTAGCATGGCCCCTGCATTAGGATGACACACAAATTCATGAAGTGTTCCATATTTTTTGTGTGTGTGTGTTCCATATTTTTGATGCAGTTGACATTTGATAAAGTGGACTCTTGTGAACATTATCAGTGGCCATTCACTGTTGCACTGTATGAAGTCTCTGAGGTATAATTAAAAGTTTTTATTGAGCCCCTGGAAAAGAAAGAGAAAACAAAAAAGAAAATAATTTGACAGTTTCTTGAAAAGTTAAACATAAGGAATCCCTGGGTGCCTCAGTGGTTTAGCTCCTACCTTCAGCCCAGGGCGTGATCCTGGAGACCCAGGATCCAGTCCCACGTCAGGCTCTCTGCAGGGAGCCTGCTTCTCCCTCTGCCTGTGTCTCTGCCTCTCTCTCTGTCTCTCATGAATAAATAAATAAAATATTTTAAAAAGCCAAAAAAAAGTTAAACATAATCTCAATTGTAGGTATTTCTGCAAGAAAAAGGAAAGCATATGTCCATAAAACATCTTGTCCACAAATGTTCACAGCAGCTTTATTTGTTATAGCCAAAAATTTGAAACAACCTAAATGTCTGCCAACAGGTAAATGGATAAACAAATTATAATATATCCATATGATGGAAGCATATTACTCAGCATAAAAAGAATAGACTATTGATCATGCTACAAATGAATCTTAAAATCAGTATGCTGAATGAAAGAAGCCAGACAAAAAAGAATACATATGATTCCATTTGCATAAAATTTTAGAAACTACAAACTAATCTCTAGTGACAGAAAGCAGGTCAATGGTTAGAAGATGTGAGCCCGAGAGAGAGGGCTCCATGAAATTTGGGGAGATGGGGCAGCCCCAGTAGGTGGTTCAGCGGTTTAGTGCTGCCTTCAGCCCAGGGTGTGATCCCGGAGACCTGAGATCAAGTCCCACATTGGGCTCCCTGCATGGAGCCTGCTTCTCCTTCTGCCTGTCTCTCTCTCTCTCTCTCTCTCTCTCTCTCTGTCTCTAATAAATAAATAAAATCTTTAAAAAAAGAATTGGGGGAGATGGTAAATATGCTTACTACTTTATTTTTTTTTCACTATTTTATTTTTTTAATTTTTTTTAAGTAGGTGCAGAGCTTGAACTCGACCCTGAGATCAAGACCTGAGTGGAGATCAAGAATCGGTTGCTCAGGATGACTGTCTACCATTTGCTTCGATGTGGATGGAACTGGAGGGTATTAGGCTGAGTGAAATACGTCAATCAGAGAAAGACAATCATCATATGGTTTCACTCATATGTGGAATATAAGAAATAGTGAAAGGAACCATAAGAGAAAGGAGGGAAACTGAGTGAGGAAAAATTAAAGAGAAAGTCAAGCCATGAGAGACTCCTAACTCTGAGAAACAAAGGGTTGCAGGAGAGGAGGGTGGGGGGATGGGGTAACTGGGTGACAGGCATTAAGGAGGGCACATGACATGACGAAATGAGCACTGGGTGTTACACTACATGTTGGCAAATTGAATTTAAATAAAATTTTAAGTTTTTTTTTCTAAATTTAAAAAAGAATTAGTCGTTCAACCAACTGAGCCACACAGGTGCCCCAATTTTTTTAAGTAAACTTTATGCCGAACATGGGGCTCAAACTCACTAGAAGATCAAGAGCTGCATGCTCTACTGACTGAGCCAGTCAGGTGCCCCAATATTCACTACTTTGATTGTAGTGATGGTTTCATGGGAGAAGACATATGTTAAAACATCAAACTGTACACTTCAAATATGTGCAGTTAATTATGTGTCAGTTATACACTGATAATGCTGTTTTTAAAAAATTCCAGTACCGTGGAGTGACTGGTGAATTGAAAAAATGACCATTTTCCATCATCATCATGAAGATGGATTCAAGCAAGAATCAATGGTTGAGGGACGCCTGGGTGGTCAGTCAGTTAAGTGTCTGCCTTCAGCTCAGGTCATGATCTCGGGGTCCTGAGATGGAACCTCACATGGGGCTCCCTGCGTAGCTGAGAGTCTGCTTCTCCTTCTCCTATCCCTTCCCCCAGTCCCCTGCTCAGTCAGGCTTTCTCACTCTCCTATCTCTCAAATAAATAAATAAAATCTTAAAAAATAATAGTTGTTAAATAAAACCAAGAGTGGGGGAAATCTGATGAAGAAGGGGGTATCTACATGGTCTTAAAGTGTCTCTTGGGCAACCTGGGTGGCTCAGAGGTTGAGCGTCTGCCTTTGGCACAGGTCATGATCCTGGAGTCCTGGGATGGAGTTCCACATCGGGCTCCCTGCAGGGAGCCTGCTTCTCCCTCTGCCTCTGTCTCTGCCTCTCTCTCTGTGTCTCTCATGAATAAATAAATAAAATCTTTAAAAAAAATAAAATAAGGGACGCCTGGGTGGCTCAGTGGTTGAGCATCTGCCTTTGACTCAGGTCGTGATCCTGGGGTCCTGGGATCGAGTCCTATATTGGGCTCCCTGCAGGGAGCCTGCTTCTCCCTCTGCCTATGTCTCTGCCTCTCTCTCTGTCTCTCATGAATAAAGAAATAAATATACCTTAAAAAACAGTTGAAAAAATAAAAAGTCTCTGTAGATTGCTTATTAATTATAATGAGAAAAGTAGTAACTATACAGTGGGAAAAATGCAACAAAACTTTAGGTGATCAAAATTATCATTAATCATGGGCAGGCAGGGACACCTGGGTGGCTCAGCGGTTGGGCGTTTGCCTTTGGCTCAGGGCATGGTCCCACGGTCTGGGGATCAAGTCCTGCATTGGGCTTCGTGCCAGGAGTCTGCTTCTCCCTCTGTCTCTGTCTCTGCCTCTCTCTGTGTGTCTCTCATGAATAAATAAATAAAATATTTTTAAAAAACCATGGGCAGGTAGACTTCTCGTTCCTCTAAGTGCGATACTTGGTAAGGACACACTTTAATTTTTTTTAAAGATTTTATTTATTTATTCATGAGAGACGAGAGAGAGAGAGAGAGAGAGGCAGAGACACAGGCAGAGGGAGAAGCAGGCTCCATGCAGGGAGCCTGACATGGGACTCGATCCAGGGTCTCCAGGATCACACCCTGGGCTGAAGGCAGCACTAAACTGCTGAGCCACCGGGGCTGCCCCACACTTTAATTTTTACAGTCTTCTGGCCACCATGTATAATTTGAATTTAATATGGAAGAAAAAGTAGACAAAGCCAAATTAAGAAATATTCAATAGCATAACTGCCTGTACCCTAAAAAATGTTAGCATAGGGCACCTGGGTGGCTCAGTCTATTAAATGTCTGCCTTCAGCTCAGGTCATGATCTCGGGGTCCTAGGATTGAGCCCCAGGTCAGGCTCCCTGCTCAGCGGGGAGTCTGCTTCTCCCTCTCCCTCCCTCTGCCTCTTCCCCTGACTTGTGCACTCTCTCTCAAATAAATAAATAAAATATTTTTAAATGTCAGTATTGGGGCACCTGGGAGGCTCAGTGGTTGAGCATCTGCCTTTGGCTCAGGGCATGATCCCAGGATTCTGGGATGGAGTCTTGCATCGGGCTCCCCATGGAGAGCCTGCTTCTCCCTCTGCCTATGTCTCTACCTTTCTCTATATCTCTCATCCATAAATAAAGTTAATTTTTTTCTTTTTTTTTAAGATTTTATTTGTTTATTCATGGGACACAGAGAGAAAGAGAGGCAGAGACACAGGCAGAGGGAGAAGCAGGCAGAGGGAGAAGCAGGCTCCAAGCAGGGAGCCCGATGTGGGACTTGATCCTGGGTCTTCAGGGTCACACCCTGGGCCAAAGGCAGTGCTAAACCACTGAGCCACCCAGGGATCCCTAAAAATTTTTCTTTTAAATGTCAGTATCATGAAAGACAAAGGCTGAGAGAAAAACTGTTAAAGGAAAATAAGATACATGACAAATGCAATATGTGATCCTGGACTGAATCTGATAAAGAGGGGGGAATAGGGACACCTGGGTGGCTCAGCAGTTGAGTGTCTGCCTTCAGCTCAGGGCATGATCCCCGGCGTCCTGGGATCGGGCTCCCTGCACAGAGCCTGCTTCTCCCTCTGCCTATGTCTCTGCCTCTGTGTGTGTGTGTGTCTCTCATGAATAAATAAATAAAATCTAAAAAAAAAAAGGTTGATTGATTGATTTGAGAGAGAAAATAAACAGGGAGGAGGGTCAGAGGGAGTGGGAGAAGTAGACCACCCTCTGAACTGGGAGCCCAATATGGGGCTCGATCCCAGGACCCTGAAATCATGACCTGAACTGAAGGCAAAGGCTTAACTGACTGAGCCACCCAGGCACCCTCCCTGTAAGTTTTAAATTACTTTAAAATGAAAGCTTTAAAAAAAAGCCTCAGGCTAATGACATCAGAGTCTCTGGGAATGGCTCTGAGGCACTAGGATTTTATTTTATTTTTAAGTAGGCACCACACCCAACATGAGGCTCAAACTCACAACCCTGAGATCCAGAGTCACATGCTCTACTCACTGAACTACCCAGGTGCCCCAAGCCATGGGGATTTTAAAAAGCTTTCCAGACCAGGGCGCCAGATTTGGCAAATAACAGTACAAGATGTGCAGTTAAATTTGAATTTCAGATAAACAACAAGTAACATTTTTTATATAAAGACTTATTTATTCATGTATTTGTTTGAGAGAGAGAGAGAGAGAGAGAGCGAGCATGAGTCGGGGGAGGGGCAGAGGGAGCAGGAGAAGCAGAGTTCCCGCTGAGCACTGAGCCTGATATCAAGAAACTCAGTCCCAGGACCCAAAGATCATGACTTTAGCTGAAGTCAGACACTTAACCAAATAAGCCACCCAGGCACCCCTAAAAACACTTTTTAGTATAAGTATATCCCATGCAGTATTTTCTGCCTAAGTAGCAAGTACCCTCTGGGAATACAATTCATTTTGTTATCTGTACTCTGCTGGTCTTGGTGGAAAATCAAAGTTCTTGCTTTATCTGTCTTCAGCATACAAAATCATCTCAGTTCTCACTCTTGCAGAGAGAAGCAGACTGAGATAAATATAAGTAGATATTAAATGGCCAGAGTTCATGGTGATGAACAGAAATGTTTCATAAGTCTGTCACCTT